GCCAGAGAGGTGCGCTACCCTTTGTACTATTTTTTCATCATTTCATTTCATCATCCTGTTAATCGTCGATTGCCTCGAGCAGGCCCCAGTAACGTCTCTTTCATCCTAGCCCTGAGATTATATTCAGGGCTCTTTAGGAGAATGAGACCCATCATTGTTACTGGTATTTGGCATATTTGGTAGGCCACGGGGAGTTTGCCAGACTCTGCCCTGTGGGCAGGCTACATTCGACAGCCTGCAAGTTTGTCCAAAGTAGGAATGAGATCCCGGCCGCGCGGTTACGGGATCTGGATTTTATAGTCTCTGAGTCTTGGCCGCTGATGGGATTACACGGCGCCAGGGGGCCAGGTGGTGGGTGTGACCCCCGCCTACTGGAATTTGGAGGATCTGGGTGGAAGATGCTCGACTCCAATTCGAGTAGGCTTGGAGGTCTCGGCCCCGGAACCCGCGTGGCTTTGTCCCTCTGCCAGTACCTTCATGTGTGCGGAGAGTGGTCTCAGCATGGTGGTGGCTGGTCCTGGAGGTCTCCGGCTGCCGTAGCCCTGGCCGGGGCGGGGAGGAAAGCTCAACCCGCTCCCCTCCAAGGGACTCCGGGAAGGAACACCGAGGCGCGGGGGCAGAGACTGCACTGCTCTCGTCCGGGATCTGGATTTTATAGTCTCTGAGTCTTGGCCGCTGATGGGATTACATGGCGCCAGGGGGCCAGGTGGTGGGTGTGACCCCCGCCTACTGGAATTTGGAGGATCTGGGTGGAAGATGCTCGACTCCAATTCGAGTAGGCTTGGAGGTCTCGGCCCCGGAACCCGCGTGGCTTTGTCCCTCTGCCAGTACCTTCATGTGTGCGGAGAGTGGTCTCAGCATGGTGGTGGCTGGTCCTGGAGGTCTTCGGCTGCCGGAGCCCTGGTCGGGGCGGGGAGGAAAGCTCAACCCGCTCCCCTCCAAGGGACTCCGGGAAGGAACGCCCAGGCACGGGGGCAGAGACTGCACTGTTCTCGTCCGGGATCTGGATTTTATAGTCTCTGAGTCTTGGCCGCTGATGGGATTACATGGCGCCAGGGGGCCAGGTGGTGGGTGTGACCCCCGCCTACTGGAATTTGGAGGATCTGGGTGGAAGATGCTCGACTCCAATCCGAGTAGGCTTGGAGGTCTCGGCCCCGGAACCCGCGTGGCTTTGTCCCTCTGCCAGTACCTTCATGTGTGCGGAGAGTGGTCTCAGCATGGTGGTGGCTGGTCCTGGAGGTCTTCGGCTGCCGGAGCCCTGGTCGGGGCGGGGAGGAAAGCTCAACCCGCTCCCCTCCAAGGGACTCCGGGAAGGAACGCCCAGGCACGGGGGCAGAGACTGCACTGTTCTCGTCCGGGATCTGGATTTTATAGTCTCTGAGTCTTGGCCGCTGATGGGATTACATGGCGCCAGGGGGCCAGGTGGTGGGTGTGACCCCCGCCTACTGGAATTTGGAGGATCTGGGTGGAAGATGCTCGACTCCAATCCGAGTAGGCTTGGAGGTCTCGGCCCCGGAACCCGCGTGGCTTTGTCCCTCTGCCAGTACCTTCATGTGTGCGGAGAGTGGTCTCGGCATGGTGGTGACTGGTCCTGGAGGTCTCCGGCTGCCGTAGCCCTGGCCGGGGTGGGGAGGAAAGCTCAACCCGCTCCCCTCCAAGGGACTCCAGGAAGGAACACCGAGGCGCGGGGGCAGAGACTTTGTACTATATCTCTGGCTTAAAATTATTTTATTTTGACAGCGGGTAGGGTGTCTGCCTTGCACGCAGCCAACATGGCCGACCCGAGTTCCATTCCTCCGCCCCTCTCGGAGAGCCCGGCAAGCTACCGAGAGTATTCGATATGCCAGACACAGTAACAACAAAGTCTCCAATGGAGACGTTACTGGGCCCGCTCGAGCAAATCGATGATCGGCGGGAGGGCCTTTACTTTACTTGTTTCGTCACAAAAACTTTTTTTTTTTTTTAAATTCAGAACCAAGTGTTTGAACTAAGAGAAGTTTCTATTTCTTTGAAGAACTCCTTTTAACATTTTTTTGAGAAAAAAACTGTTATAGGCAACACTTTCTCTCAATTTTGTTTTTCTGAGTAGTTATAATTTTCCTCTAGGTTTGAGAATAATTTCACCAGATACAGAATCAAAGTTTGTGGTTTTATTCAAGATTTTTAATTTCTAACTATATTCTTCATTGCTTCAGAAAAGTGCAATGTAGTCTTATCCTTTTAAATTTATGGACAAAGATGGTGATTCTTTATGACTTCAAGGTTTTTCCTCTGTCCATTTTCTGCTGTTTGAATGTATATGTCCAGGCATAGATATTTTAAGCATTTATCCTAACTTGAATTTCTATAGATTTCCTAAGTTTGTGAGTTTTGGACTATCATTAATGTTGGAAATTTCTGTCATAATTATTTTAGAAGATTCTATTGTTCCTTTCTCTAGTCTCTTCGTAGTGTTTCTATTACGCATAGGTCACACCTTTTATCATTTTCTGTTTTTCTCTATATCTCAGTATTTTAGTCCTCTCTCCTTTCCTCCCTCTCTCCCCCCTCCCTCCTTCCCTCCCTCCTTTCCCACTCTCCCTCTCTCCTCCTGACTCTTAAGAATCACTTCTGGCGATTCAAGGGCTACCATATGTGGAGCCAGGATATATACTGGAGCTGGAATTGAAACTTGGGTTGGCCAGATGCAAAGCAAGTACTGCCTCTGTGGTTCAGTTTTTATCAACATTGTCTCAAACTAGACTTTTTCCTCTGCTGTGTTTAGTCTTTTAAAGAACCCTTCACTGCGTGGGGAAGGTAGCTCAAAGGGCAGGAGCACAAAGAGGTTTGGGATCAATTGAGAATACCCCTTAACGCCACTGAGTGTGGCTCACAGAAAAAGAATGTATAAAACATTTTTTATCATTTCTATTAATGTTTTACATATCTGATGTTTACTGTATTGCCATTTATTTGCTTACAGTACCCTCGGCCGCGCGACATCTTATTATGACATCTCATTCCTACTTTGGACAAACTGGCAGGCTACCGAATGTAGCCTGCCCACACGGCAGAGTCTGGCAAACTCCCCGTGGCGTAGCCAATATGCCAAATACCAGTAACAATGATGGGTCTCATTCTCCTAAAGAGCCTTGAATATAATCTCAGGGCTAGGATGAAGGAGATGTTACTGGGGCCTGCTCGAGGCAATCAACGAATTGATCTCTAAGAAACCTTTTTTTGAACATCTTTAGTGGATTATTCATAAAAAGCTGGAGCGATAGCACAGTGGGTAGGGCGTTTGCCTTGCAAGCGGCCGACCTGGCTGACCCAAGTTAGATTTCTCCACCCCTCTCGGAGAGCCTGGCAAGCTACCATGAGTATCTAGCCCGCACGGCAAAGCCTGGCAAGCTACCCATGATGTATTCGATATGCCAAACACAGTAACAACAAAGTCTCCAATGGAGACGTTACTGGACCAGCTCGAGGCAATCGACGAATAACAGGATGATTTGTGATTGTGATTGTGACCCTCCAGTTCCTACTATTCATATCCTGCACAGCCATTCTCTAACACTGTCCAGCCCCCCTCCCTGGCAGTACCACGCAAGAAACACTTTAAAGTCTAGACTGAGCTAACGTTGGGTATGTTTGTTCCCCAGGTTGTTTAAGATCTGAAAGTAGTTTCCGTTGAGGGCAGACTTTGTAAAAAACAAAACAAAACAAAACAAAAAAGAGAACTAAAACTTATTTCCAAATATTCATTTTTGTTTTTCATTGCTAAAAGAGGATTTTCCAGTTTTCACAATAACTTGAGATAGTGGAGGTGAAATTCACAAAAACATGGCGGTCACCCATTCTTTATCCACTTTTAAGTTTGCTCGTTTAAACTTCACATTAGTTCACAATAAACTGCCAGCAATTCATCAGTTACATTTAAGGTGTTCATTTATGCCTCCAGTGGCTTCTACTCCCAATAAGTCATGCCCTTCTTTTATTGTCTGTACTTCCAATTTTTATTAGCAGCAATTTTGCCTGTGACTTGAGTTCCCTGCTGGCCTTAGGAAGAGTGGACTTTTAGTTTTTTTGTTTACTAGTTTTGTTTTTCATACTTTAGGATGGTCGTCTATGGTCTAGGGAGGGAGAATGTTTAGAAAGAGGTTAAGAGTCCTGAGACACACAGCTTTTAGAAATCAGGGATCTAGTGAAGGAGAACAAAGAAAACACTGGCATTTCATGATGTGGGATGAAATGTTCCGAATTCTAAGGAACATATGATCAACTGTCAAGTCTTGTTCAACGGTTGAGGTACCTGAAGCTGAAGAGTTTGGGATTTATTAAAACTGCCTGAATGATATAAACTCTCTCACTCTAATCTTTATACTGGTTCGTAGGTCACATGTTGCCAGTGTGCATTAAAGATGTGAATTAAAGATGTAGAGTTTATGGTTAACGTCCTGCTTATGGAGGGTCTGGGTCCTTTTCATGGGTGGGTAATTTCTTTCTTCCTTTTTTTGATCACTTTCCTTATTGCCTTAGAAGCTAAGCTGAGAACTGAGCCTCTGCTGGGGAGGTGATTCTTAGGCAGCGCCCTTTAGAGCCTCTCCTGTTAGATTTCAGGGGCTAGGCAGAAGAACCAAGCCAGGGAGCCCAATCGATCCGAATCAGATACGTTATCATTCACGTTTTAACCTCTGACTCCCAACTTTCCCTCTCTGATCCTGAATGGAGTTGGAGGGACCCTGACACCGGGTGGGTCAAGAGTGGGAGAGCTGACAATCAGACGCCTAGACAAGCCTCCCGGGAGATCGGGCGAATCCCTGGGCCCGGGCGAGAAGACCCGAGGGGCACGTTTCCCCCATCCCCGCACCCCCGCACCCCCGCGGCCCCGCGGCCCCCCACGCCCCAACTCGCGCCGCGGGAACCCGCGACCACGCCCCTCCCACTTCCCCATTTCCGGATCGTCGCCGCCAGCGCCGTCGCGTGCGCGATGACGTCACGGCGCCCGCAGACCCCGGAAGTGCAAGTGGAACTGGGTCCGGACGCGCGTCCCGAGAGGGAAAGTCAGAACCGCCGCACGAGGGAGTTCGCCGGGCGAGCTGGACGGCCACGCCTCCTCCCGCCTCCCCCCGCAGCCCTGCAGCTGGGGGCAGAGCTCAGGTAGGTCCTGCGGCCGCGGGGTCCTGAGCTCTGGGGGGCAGGCCCGGGCCAGAATCCGGGGAAGGGGCTGGCCTGGTCCCCCCCCCCCACCCCCCCACCCCCGGGGGGCCAGACACCGTTGATCCGGGTGGATCAGCGTCTGCTGCCCACTCTGCTGTCCCGTGCCCAGCACCCCGCTAATAAGGGACAAGTGTCACCTGCCCTGGCCACTTCCGAGGCGGGGCTGGACACGTGCGCCCCCCCCGTCCACGTCTCTCCTAAGTCCAGGACTCGTAGTCCCGGTGCTGGGAGTCCCAGAGACTGGGGAGTCGATCCTGGGCCCTCTTGCTTCCCCTTTGGAGGGGGAGGTGTGTTTTTCCACTGCTTGGGAAAACTTTATTTTGTTGCACTTTTTAAAAGGAGAAAGTGTCATCCACTACCAGATCTTTGCCAGGAGGGATGTACTCTGTAAACTGGAGTCTCCAAACTTAGAAGGTGCATGAGGAAGGGTGGTGGGACGTTTTTACTGAATGCATGTAGACCTGGATGCCTTCAAAGTTAAATAAATGTTGGAAACGGTCGTGTCTTTCACATCTAGAGATTTTGACTGACTTTTCTAGTGCATCAGCGAGTGCTACTTCGCTGCCAAAGAAACAGTTGCTTTGGCTGTATTTATTGACAAGCGGTGTTGCTGCATTTGTTCCTTTTTCATCCCAACTGTCTTAACCTAAGGCTAACATTGCGTTAGGCAATGTCGGGTGTATAAAACCTCATCTTTATCCCCCACTTGTGTCGTGTTTAGGGTATTTAGAATCGAACTAGAAGTACGCTGTCTGGCCTAGATGATCCTTCCACTTAGCTAGGGATACTCCGGGTAGCTTCAGTGCAGTTGCTGCTGTTGCCCTAGTAAATGGGATAGTACCATGGCCAAGAGGACGATATGGTTTGAGAAGCTGTGAATATAGAGCCATTCATTCAGCAAGTAATCGTGTGCCCCAGTTGGTTGAGCCTGGATGTGCTGGGCATACAGTAGTGAGCAAAATAGACAAAGTACTTGTGGTTTCTGGAGTTTACATTGTAGTAGGTGAAGGGCTATTGTTGTTGTAAGAGTTCTTTATAGAGGAAAATATAACACTTATTAAGGGGAGAGAAAATGATGAAGTGTGCTAATTTAGATAGAGTACCCCAGTACAGTCTCTCTAAAAAGGGGACTTTTAAGTAGAAATGTGGATGAAATTTGAGAATATCTTTTCAGATATATGGGGTGGGTGTTGCAGTGACATATTTGTTTCTTTTGGGTGTATACCCAGAACTGACCTGGCTAGATTTTTGCTACTTCTCTGTTTAAAACTTTAGGGATCACCATACTCCTACCCACAGTGGCTCTGCTGTTTTACATTCCACGAACAATGCACAGAGACTTCAGCTTTCTTCCTCCTTTCCAGAATTTCTTGATATCCTCACTAATAACATTTTAAAAGTAAAAGCCATCCTAATCATTCTGAAGTAGTACCTTTTGTATTTCTTGCTAATGATTTGCATTTATATCATTTGACATGCTTTTAGATCATAGGTCTAGTGCCCTGGGAGTACATTATTATTATTTTTTTTAATCTGATTTTAATAGAATTTTTTTTTCTGGTAAATTTTTTAGGAACTATGAAAGCCATCCACCATCTTCTTCTATTTGTTTAAAAATATTTTATTTTTTATTGAAGTAGCATGGTTATAATAGAGTTAGTCTTAATTATTTTGGGATACAGAGTTGCTGCCCGCCCCCCCCCCCCACCCCATACGCCAAAATGCCAGAGACCTTCCACCACTGTCCTTAAGTTGCTTCTAGTCTGCCACATCCTTCCCTATTCTGCACACTCTTTTGTTCCCACATGCCAAACTTGGTAACCTCATTTCTGTGGCCAAATTTCAAGAAATGGTTTTCACTGGGTATTGTTCCTTTCTTTGCTTGTTTGCTTTCTTTTTATATATAGATATATGTTGAGGGTAGAGGCGATGGCACAATGGGTAGGGCATTTGCCTTGCACGTGGATCCAGGTTTGATCCCGAGCATCCCGTATGGTACCTACACGCCACCAGGAGTACTTTCTGAGTGCAGAATCTGAAGTAATCCCTGAGCATTGCTATGTGTGACCCCAAAAGCCGAGTAAAAAATATATATATGTGAGACCATCTGTCCTTTTCCTCTGACTCAGATGTCACCCTCTAGTTTTCTTCAAGTAGTAGCAAAAGGCAAGGGTTCATATTTTCTTATAGCTTGAGTAGTATACTATCCTGTACATATACACCACAATTTCTTTATCTACTTATCTGCCATTGGCTGCTTGGACTGTTTCCAGATCTTGACTTTTGTAAAAAGTGCTATAGTGTACATAGTTGGGCGTATATCTTTCAAGTTTATGGGGGTTTTTTTTTGTAATCTATTGCTTTTTTGGTCCTAAAATACAATATTTATAAAAGCTCCAATTGTCTGTGTACTAAGTACCTGCAGTAATTCTAGACTTGGAAATCAAAGGTACCATATAGTATCTTTAATGACAGTGAATGAAATCTAGAGTCTCAGATTGTGATGGAAGCTGTTCAGAGAAGCCAAAGATCATCTTGACCTGCTTTGATTTTTTTTTTTTTAATTTAGAAGGAAAGGAGTATATTGATTGGTAGACTATACCTCTGAAGTAGATTTCTTCTAGTCTGGTATCTGAGAAGAACAGGAAAAAGAAGAGCCAAAAATGAAGAGAAATTTAAACACAAGTGTTGGCTAGCTGTATAGCAGTCGGATGTGGTTAGACAAAGAGAGGCAAAGGCTATCAGTAAATGGCAATAGATGATAACCCTGGTACTGATACCAGAGAAGGGAGGCGAGTACCCAGAGACAAAATGAAAGCAATATAGCTCTGTGGATAGGAATGGAATCGGAGGATAAGGAGACAGCACAAATTGCCTACCATTATCTCGGCAGATAGCTCTGAAGGCCTTGAGTAATTCAGTAAGTACTTCTATACATCAATATGGTTTGGTTCCAGGAGTTGGGAGATAAGCAGTGTGTATAGTTTATAGGAATAAACTAAATTGTTCACATCATAACATTTTTACCCAAAGGGTAATATGGTTTATTGAGAGTGTAATTTATTGATTTATGAATAATGAGTGTATGGAACTTATTGTAAATGTTTAATTTATGACTTTTGAGCATGGTCAAAATTTTATTTAATATTATTATTTTGGGTTTCCCATCTAGTGCTCAGGAGGTCTTGGGTTCCATCCTGGCAATTCCTGTCCATCTACGCCAGTAGTTCAATGCATGTGTCTTTGCATGCTAGGGATTCCCTGGGTCAGCACCATCAAATGGTTCTAGGGGCCTTCAGGTATGCACTGGAGGATGCTCACAGGACCAGCAGTGCTGGGGATACCCGGTGAGCATCTTAATCCTGGTCTTCCTCTCTGGGTTGGAAAAATATTTTTCCATAATATGTTTTAGAGTGAAAGGACTAAAAAATGAATCCAAGGTAGTTAATGGTAGTTAATTCAAGGGTACTTTCTTTTTGTTGTTGTTGTTGAAAAAAATTTCAGGTGGTGTTTGGTCCATACCTGATAGTGCTCAGGGACTACTCCAGGCACTGTGTGTGCTTGGAGGTTGCCCCTGTGTGCTTCTGTTTAAAGAAGACTGCATATTTAAATTTAGGCACAGGGTAGTTGATAACACACTTAAGGTTGATTTGCTGGAGGTTAAAGAGTTAATAAGATTAAGATTGGGGCTGAAGTGAAGATAGTGGCTAAAGCATTTGCTTTGCATGTGGCTGACCTGCATCCTATCCCTGGCACTAAATATGTTCCCCTGAATCCCACCAAGAGTGACCCCTGAGTGTAGAGCCACTGAGTGCCACTGGATATGGACCACAAACAAAACAAATCAAATCAACAACAACAACAAGACTGAAAAGCTGTATCCAGTGTTACAGCTCAACAGCTTATAGAGGATCTAGGTTTAATCTCTGGTATCACAAGGGAGAAACCCCCCCAATTAAGATTGTAGATATGGGACCCTTTAATCTACAGGAATGATCACAACAAATCCTTAAGGGTATGACTATTAACTACATAGTAACAACATAACAATGTTCCCATCCCCAGCTAACCACTTTGCTGTATGTGATTGGGTATAAAAAAAGCAGTATGAGATATATCATATCCTTTGCACCTGGCAAGCTACCAAGAGTATCTCACCCGCATGGCAATGCCTGTGACGTATTCAATATGCCAAATGCAGTAACAGCAAGTCTCACAATGTTACTGGGCCCGCTCGAGCAAATCGATAAACAAAAGGATGACAGTGACAGTGACAGTTTAATGTACTTACTAAATAACTCTTTTAAAAAAAACAGTTCAGAGTAACTAAAGTAGCACAGAAGTGTGAATGATGCCCATTTCATCTAGAAAGACATAGATTACTTTTATGTGCCTTATTTAGAATGCAGAACAAGCTCCAGTTATGACCCAGATTATAAGTTAGGGTGAGCACTTGAACAATTTGAAAAATGTATAGGAGATATGCTGTCTTGACTTGAATCACCCTATTCTGGATATCATCTTGTCTTTACTAGTGAAAATGATTCTGGTACTAACTCAGACAATGTAGAAATTAATCATTTGGGTAAGCATCCTTTAATATAGAGTATTTAAATAGGGATTAGCTAGATAGGGAGAGGACTGTAGTGTCAAATGATGATGATGAGGGAATAAAGGAATAGAGAAACGCCCAAGATCTAGATGAAATGAAGGGTGAAGAAGTAAATAAGAGGAAGAGTTAGTCTGGGTCTTAATTATTTAAATCTGTAAAAAGAGAGCTACCAATGTAGTTTGGGAAAAAGACCATGTTTGAGGGTTTTGTATATTGGTTGGGTATGTCCTCTGTAAAGAGACACTAATAATGATAACAACTTGTATGTGATGTTATGGGGGAGGCTCAACTCCTTGCCTAGGATTTTCTGAAGAAAATGATGCTTGTG